TAAAAGCAATAAAACAGACAAGGCACAGCCTCACTTGATCCTGCTAAGAGTGGGAATCCATCAAATGGAGCTGGAATAGGGAAGGTGCAGACACGGGCTGTGAAGCGAGCAGGAGGACTCTGACTGCAGGCTGGCTCCACTTATGTGTGCAGCAACGCCCTCCCTCTAGTCACCAGAAGTTTCTGGGTTGGAGGAGGTGAGGAGAGCAGCTTGGAAGCATTGATCTCAGAGGCAGGCAATACATACAAAATCAAGATGGTTTCAGAGCTGCTAAGCAGTATAAAGAAAACAGATGGGCTGATCGGACAGGGCATGGCCCAGGAGAACAGGGAGGCCCCAGAGGGCTGTGGGAGCAGGTGACAGGTGAGCCTGCTGCATGTGCAGTGGAAGAGAAAGGGCCAGCCCCAGGGATGCCTGTAGGCAGGGGGATAGGTCGGGCTTCCAGGCATGTTTAAAAAACTGGGGGGAGACAAGGAGGGGCCAGGCTGTTGTCTAAAGCGGGTGGACCACCCACAGTCAGATCATCTCAGAACCTCATATGATAACGAGCTTCCAATTCTACTCCAGTCATCCAGGAAGCCACATGTGGGCTCTCAAGAGAAGAAGGACACAGGTAGACAGGACGCCTGCAGCTGCTTCAAGGAAAAGGTACTGAAGGCAGAAGGGGATGCAGAAGTCCGTGAGAAAGCTGCCTCCTGCATGTCTGTCGAAGCAAGAGCTCAGGCCAGTCAGAGCAGAGGGAGAGCCCAGAAATGCCTGGGGAGAGTTGGGGTCGCAAGGCTGGCCACTCTCAAGAAACCCACTGGTGCGAAGAGACACAGGTTGCTGAGAAACGGGGAAGAAAAACACACTCAGAAATAGACTCTAATTAGGAAAACCGAGAATAAAAATAGGTTTACTCTGAATCAACAGCTCCCTGTCTCATGAAAGGCACAGTCAGCAGATTGGGGTCTGGATTAGGAGATGGTTATTCATTTAATTATTCTTTTTTTTGAGACACATGTGTCATTCTGTTGCCCAGGCTGGAGTGTATTGGCACGATCTCGGCTCACTGCAACATCCCACTCCGAGGTTCAAGCGATTCTCCTGCTGCAGCCTCCCAAGTGGCTGGTATTACAGGCTTCTACTACCATGCCTGGCTAGTATTTCTTGATATTTTTAGTATAGACAGGTTTTCACCATGTTGGCCAGGCTTGTCTTGAACCCCTGACCTCAGTTGATCTGCCAGCCTCGACCTCCCAAAGTGCTGGGACTATATGCATGAACCACCACACCAGGACTAATTATTAATTTTCAGTTAGCCTAATGATATATTATAATTAGGTTATTTTTCATTCTATTGTATTCTAATATATTTAAATATTCTAATATACTATAGCCCATTAACAATTCTCATAACTTTATATAACAATTCTAATACAGCAATTCTATAATTATAATATTCTTTTCTTTTTAAATTTATTTTCATGTATTTTAACTTCAGCATACTGAGATTAACATTGTTTTAACTATATTCTAATAATTTTGTTATATTCTAACAATATTATGTTCTAATAGTATATTCTATTCTAATAATACGCTACTCTACCCAATCGGATACAATGAACACTCCTTAGGCAATGCTGCCCTCGTGTGGTCAGTGTCATCACAGAGGGAAAATGTGGTGCCTTTCCCTGGGTGGATGCCAATCAATATGCGTGGTTTTATTTATTTTTTTTTTTTGAGATGGGAGTTTCACTCTTGTTGCCCAGGATAGTAAGTGCAATGGTGCAGTGCAATCTCAGCTCACTGCAGCCTCTGCCTCCCAAGCAATTCTCCTGCCTCTGCCTCCTGAGTAGCTGGGATTACAAACATGTGCCACCATGCCCAGCTAATTTTGTATTTTTAGTAAGAACAGGGTTTCTCTATATTGGTCAGGCTGGTCTCAAACTCCCAACCTCAGGTGATCCGCTCACCTTGGCCTCTCAAAGTGCTGGGATTATAGTCTTGAGCCACTACACCCGGCCTGCCTAAGTTATTTTTAACCTTTTGGGTTTGCCTAGGACATCATGGGTTTGGGTGCATATTGAGAAGTTTGATTCTATCTGATTTGTAGGCATGTCTCAGCAAAGAGTGATGGAAAATTCAACAGACCAACGGGTAGGTAAGTAGGTATAGGTGTTTGATAGCTAGACAGACAGAAAGCTAGAGACAGATGGATAGGTATGTAGGTAGGTGAATAGATGACTGACAGATAAATAGGTAGGTAGATACACAGAAAACCAGGAAGATGAATAGGTAGACAGATGATTGACAGATGGACAGGTAAGTAGGTATTCAGTTACACAGAAAGATAGATGATTAACAGATGGATAGGCAGAAAGATAGATGAATAGGAAGTAGGTAGATACACTGATACATGAATGACAGATGACAGGTAACTACATGGTAGGTAGGCAGATAGATAAAAAGATCATAAAGAGATGGATAGAGAGATGGATATATAAATATCTAAATGAGAGCTTGGACAGATGATAGATAAGGCTAAATGGAAAAACAGATATTTATATACATACATAAAAGGTAGACCATATAGACAGGGATGGATGGATGGATGGATGGATGGATGGATGGATGGATGGATGGATGGATGGATGGATGGATGGACAAATGGATGGATTGTTGGGTGGACAGACAGATGGACAAAGGAGTGGGTGGGTGGATGGATGGATGGATGAATGGGTGGGTGTGTGGATGGACGGACAAGTATGCAGACTTAGATAAAAAGACAGGTGGGTAGATTGATGGATGATAAATATACACAGATAGCCAGACACAATGAAATACAAGTTTTCGCAGGTTCCATTCTTCTCCTTTTGCTTCTCATCATGGAATTCTTTGATAGTGCTTGTTTGACATCGTTCCAATCCCTAAGCTAGTGGGGAAATTAACGGATGCACTTTCTTCAAAAAAGGCGGCAGAGATAAGCACATGGGACTATGACCCCTGTCTGCTCCCCAAACAAAAGTCAGTGACTGCCTGGATTTCCTAAGGTGGATGTTAGAATGTCACATGCTCCACACCCCCAGGAACAAGCGCTGGGTCTGGATGCTCCCGCCAGCAGGATCTGGCTGAGACCCGCCTTCCAGGCAGGAGAATGCCTCTCCTCCTTCCCTCCTTTGTTTCCAACTGAAAGGGAAGGTTTCCCAGTAAAAATCTCTGGTCTTGACCCCCTGCAGGGAATCAGAGAGATGTGAGCAAGGATCTGGCTTTTGCGACAACGGAAGGATATGCTGGTGTCTGTCTTTGAGACTCAGGGGCAAGCAGAAAAAAGAAGGAAACAGGAAAAGAGAGAACATAGAAGGCAGAGCATCGGCTGTGGCAAAGCACGGCAGAGGATCCCCCAACCGGTGTTCTGGGCCCTCGCAGGCTGGGCTTCCTCTCGTCTTCATCCCAGAGAGGAGAGCCTTTCGTGCAGAGCCACACAGTGCAACAGTTCCTCTGCACACACGTAGCTCACTCCTTTCTACAGGTTCCTTTCTGGAAAAGTGCCACGCTACTGAGTCGTCTTAGGGAATTAATGGACATGCTGGGTACTAACAACGGAATGAGGATGACGCCCACGTCCTGGGTTTCCAAGTGTTGCATGCTTCCTTTGCGTTTCTGGTCAAGTCATAGTGGAGTTGTCCCAGGCACATGCTAGACTCGAACACTCAATCATGCTGACATCCCAACAAATGACCGACCCCTCTGTTATGTGGTGGCAGGGAGGATGGCACCTCCCCTGACTTCCAAATGTCACCCAACACAGGGATCACAGGCGCTGGAACCAGAGCAACTCCATCTTGAACAGGGGCCGGGTAAAATGAGGCTGAGACCTACTGGGCTGCATTCTCAGACGGTTAAGGCATTCTAAGTCACAGGACGAGATAGGAGGTCGGCACACAAAGACCCTGCTGATAAAACAGGCTGCTACTAAGCTGGCCAAATCCCTCCAAAATCAAGAGGGCGACAACAGTGACCTCTGATCGTCCTCACGGCTCATTATACATTAATTATAATGCATTAGGTACTAAAAGACACTCCCGCCAGCGCCATGACAGTTTACAAATGCCACGACAACGTCAGGACAGGGCGTTACCCTATATGTTCTGAAAAGGGGAGGAACTCCTCAGCTACAGGACTTGCCCATCCCTTTCCAGGAAAACTCATGAAAAATCCACCCCCTGTTTAGCGTATAGTAAAGAAATAACCATCAAAATAGCCAACCAGCAGCCCTCGGGCCTGCTCTGCCTAAGCAGTAACCACACTTTTATTCTTTTACTGTGTTAATACACTTGCTTTCACTTTATGGACTTTACCCGAATTCTTTCTAGCAAGAGATCCAAGAACCCTGTGTTGGGGTCTGGGTCGGCACCCCTTTCCTGTGCCACAGGTGTGTGGTTTTAGGAGAGAACATATTCTCACCTTCCTCACCGGCTGTTCATGCAGAAGCCACTCAATTGCATTTGGCTGATTTACCTTGACCCAACCTGTGCCCTCCTGAGCTCCGCAGGTTACTTCAGCAAGGGTCAGTGCAGAAGATTCATTTTTACTTTAATTTCTAAATTCTTTTTAAGACTAATTAAACACAGAAGTGATAAGGGGGAAAAGAGGAGAGCAAGGAGTTCAATCTGTAGCTAACTGTGAAAACCAACTGAGATAACTCACCACCTTTGGAGCAGCCCAGAACGTTAATTTTATATTTAAGGAAGATATGGATATTTCAATATAAAAATCTCAATGGGCATGCATGGTGGTTCCTTCACAAGTTTAGGTTTTTTGCCTCTTATTCAAACAAGCTCAACTGCTAATTCACACTGCCAACCTCAGCAGGGCAGCAGATGTGTGTGCAGCCACACCGTGTGTCTGTGATAGTCACGTACTGTTTTCAAGGTTACAGAAACGCCGAGGGGATGAATGGGTGGGGGAAGGGGGTGCTGGCCTGTAAGATGAAGATTCTCTACGGAGAATCCACTTACCCCGAGAGCATCTCGAATATCAGGATGCCGAGGGCCCACCAGTCCACGGCCCTTCCGTGGCCCTTGCTCTGAATGACTTCCGGGGCCAGGTACTCGGGTGTTCCACAGAGGGTCCAAGTCCTGTGTGGGCGACAGAGACAGACCCCCACAAAACTCAGTGGTGCTTGGCTAATGCAGTCACCTTAGAAGCTCTGATTGTTACAATAACTTAGTTGAGTAAAACCACGCTCCCTTTACCCTCCTGTGCACACATTTTACTGTGTCAAGACAGTAACATTGTTTTTGCTGATTCCTTTCCATAGTAACATTTCTTAACTGGCTTGGAAACTAAAGAATTGGTTTTATCATCCTTGCTACTGTTGCTGGTACTGTTACCACTGTTACTCAGAAGCAAAAAAACTCAGACTTTTTATGAGTTATTTATACCTGTCTCAGTATAAATCATAACGAATTAAACTAAAGGAAAAAGAATGAGATCATGTCCTCTGCAGCAGCATGGATGGAGGTGAACAGGACATTCTCCTAAGTGGACTCACATCACACAGCAAATACGCCACGTTCTCACTTATATGTGGGAGCTAAACACTGGCTACACACTTACACGGAGAGGAGGACACACAGATACCTGGGCCTGCCTGAAGATGGAGGGTGGGAGGAGAATGAGGATGGGAAAATAACCTGTCAGGTATGATGTGTATTACCTGGGTGACAAAATAATTGGTAAACCAAGTGGCATGCAGTTTACCCATATAACAAACCTGCACATGTACCCCTGAACCTGAAACAGAAGTTCTTAAAATGAATATACAAATAAATAAATAAAATGTTTTTTAAAAATCCTTTATCCCTCAAACAAACAAAAAAGTGTGGCACTGAAAAGAATAATTCAAGAACTCATTCAGGCTAGTGCAGGAGCTCATTCCTATAATCCCAGCACTTTGGGAGGCCAAGGCAGGTGGATCACCAGGAGTTTGACACCAGCCTGGCCAACATAACAAAACCTCATCTCTACTAAACATACAAAATTATCTGGGAATTGTGATGCATGTCTGTAATCCCACCTACTCGGGACGCTGAGGCAGCAGACTCAGTTGAACCTGGGAGGCAGAGGATGCAGTAAGCCGAGATCACACCACTACACTCCAGCCTGAGTGACACAGGGAGACTCTTTCCAAAAAAAAAAAAACACAAAAAGTGCAAGAGAAGAGTCCATACTTGTAACAGACTGGATGGTCTGCAGAGCTTATATATGTGTTCTTTCACTCTTGACCTTCTGCAAAAAAAAAAAAAATATTTATTGCCCCCTGGAAACAAGTGTAAAGACAGAAATATACTTCCTCCCCTGCATGCCATTTTAAAAGTGCCTGCTTTGTGCTCCGAAAACAAACTGGTGGCCTCAAGCAAAAAGTCTGTACTTCTTCCCCTAAGAAAGCTCTGGAATAAAAAATCACTTTCTTTATATCATACCTCTTGCTAACTGCACCCTGCAAATGGTGAGCAGCTGAACCTGTGTTTTGGTTACAGAAGCATCTGCTAAACAAAGTCAGGACAAGATAACAAGGACTGCAGCAGAAGATGGAAGCCTCATGGGCTAGAAAGGAGCTGAGTATCATTAACCCCAGAGAGGGGGGCATGTCTAGGCCATATCCCATTAGCGTTCTACTGCTGGGTAGAATTTTGCTTTAGGCTTTCAGCAATTCAGACCCGTAGCACACCTCCAAGCCACATCCACCCTTCCTGACACGTGCTTGCTGTCCTGGTGTGTGGGGCCCGTCTGTAGACAGGCAGAAAGAAGCAACATCCTTTGAGGGGAAAAAAATACAGAGGCTTTGCAAAAGACCTTTCCCTCCCCCAGGCACATCAAAGAAAGAAGAAACTCTACTTTGTAATTTGAATGTAAACCGAACAAAAAGCAAGTTCCATGGAGTCTAGTAATGTACACGTTTATCCACTCTCAAGTTCTTTGCACAATATATCAAGCACGTGCAAAGCCTATTTTATATCCAGCACATGTTGCCTGAGTCCGCCCTGTTTGCAGTGGTGTGGGCATGTATCTTGGCTTCAGCTCCTCAGCTTCCTGCTTGCAGGAACCCACCCAAAATGTTGTTACTGTTATCTTTTCCTCCCTTCCCCACCACACCTCCATACCCCAATTCTTTTCAGACAACAGACTTTTCCACATTAATCTGTAAGCCCTTGGGATAACAACTGGTTGCCATACAAATTTCAAATTCTCTTGGCCATCCATGAAATAAAAGTACCACAAAGCCAGGCATGGTGGTTCATACCTGTAATCTCAGTACTTTGGGAGGCTGAGGCAGGAGGATTGCTTGAGGCTGGAAGTCTCAGACCAGCTTGGGCAACATAGCAAGACCTCTTCTTTACTAAAAAAAGGCCAGGAACGGTGTCATCCCTGTCATCCCAGCACTTGGGGAGGCAGAAGCAGGTGGATCACCTGAGGTCAGGAGGTCAACGAGACCAGCCTGGTCAACATGGTGAAACTCTGACTCTACTAAAAATACAAAAATTAGCTGGACATGGTGGTGAGCACCTAAAATCTCAGCTACATGGGAGGGTGAAGCAGGAGAATCACTTGAACCCGGGAGGTGGAAGTTGCAGTGAGCCAAAACTGCGCCACTGCACTCCACCCTGGGCAACAAGAGCAAAACTCCATCTCAAAAAAAAAGCCAGGCATGCTGACAGGTGTCTGTAGTCTCAGCTAGTCAGGAGGCTGAGATGACAGGATCACTTGAACCCAGGAGTTCAAGGCTGCAGGGAGCATGACAGTGCCACTGCACTACAGACTGGACAACACAGCAAGACCCTGTCTCAAAGAAAAAAAAAACAAAAATTACTGCAGGCTCTGGCAGATACAAGTCAACAAAGAAGATAAGGAGAGAAATTAAGTTACCTTCCCATGGAGGAATATGGGAAGAGGCTTACTTTATGTGCAGGTCTCTGCACACTAGATCTAAGCATGGAACAAAGATCGCCTTGTGGTCCTATTAAGTGCTTCTCACCCATTAGACTTAAATCTACAAATGGAAAGTACAATGCACACTATTTTAGAAATGTCCTCTCCCCTGCCCCTCCCAGCAGAAACAACTCCAAGTATACCCTAGTTGATTCGATGCACAACACTTCTGTTACTCTACAAGACAACTGACTTATTGGCCTACTAATTTTGTATTTTCACCTGGCGAGTCCATCCAAAATTGCCTGAATGTAGCCAAACGCACAGAACTTAGCTGACATGAAGCCCAAGCAGAGGTGGCCAGAAGTCATCCTACAGGCATTAGCTGCAACTTCCACTTACCTTTTGAAAGATGAGGCTCTTTTTGGCTCCATGTTAGGGTAAGGACACACAGCTAAGGTTGTGTAAGTTTCCAGGTTCTAACTTGCCTCAGGAAGACTTTGGCCCCATTAGAGTCACTCCTTCCTGCAATAACCCCAATGCCTCACTAGATGTACAAAGAGACATACACTGCTATAGAGAGATGTCGACTGCGTGAGTATGAGATGAGACAGTCTGAGTGTTATGTCGACACCACTGGTCTGGGCAGTGAATTATCCACTTCCCTGTTCCTATCTCCTTTTGCTCACCTGCCTTTTCGGTAGAAGGAAGATGACACCTGCTGTTCTGTTTTCTCACTGTTCTTAGTTTCATTATGTCTGGGGGAGGGGAGGGAGGAGGCCATTTTAATGAAGCAGAAACAGAGCTAAGGATAGGATTCTCTGTAAAGTATAGATATCCAATAACTCCTGTGTTCTGAATGCCCACACCTTCCACCACACCTGCATTGGTTGAACTGTGCACCCCAAAAAGTCCTAAACCCCAGTATTTGTGAGTGGGACCTCATGTGCAAACAGGATCTTTGTAGCTGCAGTCAAGTTAAAAAGAGATCATCCTGGCTTAGGATGGGGAATAATTGCTTAACAGGTACAGGTTCTCTTTTGGGATGACGAAATGTTCTGGAACTAGAGAGAGGTGATGGTTGCACGACATGATAAATGCAATAAATGCCACAGGATTGTGCACATTAAGATGGTTCAAATGCGCTGGGTACAATGGCTCAAGCCTATAATCTCAACACTTTGTGAGGCCAAGGTAGGAGGATCACTTGAGCTTCAGGGTTCCAGACCAGCCTGGGCAACACAGCAAGACCCTGTCTGTACAAAAATATTTAAAAATTAGCCTGGCCTAGTGGTTCACACCTCTAGTCCCAGGTACTCAGGAGGCTGAGGCAACAGGATTATTTCAACCCAGGAGTTGGAGGCTACAGTGAGCTGTGATTGCACCACTGCACTCCAGCCTGGCTGAGAGAGCAAGACCGTGTTTCAAAAAATTTTTTAAAAGTAAATAAACAAAGACAGTTACTATGGTACATTTTAAAGGCATTTTACCACAATAAAAAGAGAAAAAGAGAGGGAAATGGATGACATCTCTAAGTTGAGTTTCAGTCCAGTCCCTTTACGTCCTAACATGTGGCATCACCAGCCTCACTCTCTGTCTCTCCTCACGGCTTTGTGTATGACATGGTGAGCATGTCACTCACCTAATGGGCACAGTGGGGCTCAGGAAGAATATGGACAGCTGATGAGAGCTTTTACTCTTGATTTCAGAAACAAATGCATGTTTTTCCTTTTTATCAGAAAAGTATGAGACAGTGTTTTCTCTAGGTTTGATAATGCAGGAAATAGATGCTAGTCAGTACTCACAGGGAAAATACTACACACCTTTTCTTGTAGGATCATGGGTTACAATCAAGAAGTGGGGTGTGGGGGTTTTTCAGAAAAAGGAAAATTTTTTATCATTGTTGTTTTTTATGGGGACACAATCACAGTTCCTAGAACTGCCTGATGGAAACAAACAGTTGAGAATTTCAGGCCCGTGAAGGGAGAAGGTGCACGTCTGCAAGCATGGGACAGCTTCCAATAGCCAGCCCAGGCACTGGGAGGGGTTTCCTCTGTGACAATGGCTCCTAGACACCACTGACCAGCAGGGAGAAGGGTGCCTGTCACCAACCTCGGCACAGTAATACACACTTCCTAGTACGAAGTACAGCAAAATTAAACAGGGCTCAAGGGAAAGTAACACCACCAACTGCAAACAGACTCCACATCTCTCTTCTTCCTTTTTTGCTTTTATCAAACTCTTTAATTAATGAGGATGGTATCAAAATCTTGATAGGAACACATCTTGCCTTTTTTATTTTTTATTTTTTTGAGATGGAGTCTCACTCTGTCATCCCGGCTGAAGTGCAATGGTGCAATCACAGCTCACCCATAGCCCCAACTTCCCATCCTGCCACCTCAGCCTCCCAAACAGCTAGGACTATAGTTATACCTGGCTCATTTTTTGTAGAGAGGGAGTCTTGCTATGTTGCACAAGCTGGTCTTGAACTCCTGGGCTCAAGTGATCCTCCTGCTTCAGCCTCCCAAAATGCTGCAATCATCACGCCCAACCTATGTCTTGCTTTTGATCAAATCTCATTTCTTACTATATCCATCTTCAGTCTTTCCTGGTAATTTAAATACTTTACTGAAATTCACTCTTCATTATTCTGACACAGTAAAATGAAGTCACTGTCACCAAATTTGGCAATAACAGGTTTTTCCTGCCAACTTCAACACTTCACCAAAACTCCACACCTCATCCCTCAAGGCATCATTCTGAGGCAGTAAAACAGTAATTAATGGGAACTTGGGAGTAGGAGAGTATAGACAGTTCTTGTCAGTTTTGTCAGGGGAAAAGTGAGAATAATTGCAACACAGAGGGTTCCCAGACTGTTTTGTTTAAAAACAAACAAACAAACAAACACACACACACACACACACACACACACACAGATACAACTGCCTCCTCAATCTGTCATCAGGAAATTACCTCTGTAACTAGCTCCTCCCACCCTTCCCACTTCTGATTCTCCAGTGTCTATTACACTCCTCTGTATGCCCTGCACACCCACAGCTTAACTCCCACCTATAAGAACACATCCTATTTGGTTTTCCATTTCTGAGTTACTTCACTTAGGATAATGGCCTCCAGTCCAACTGAAGTTGCCAGCAATCACAGCCCACTTAAACAAGGTCAACCTGGCTCTCTCATCCCTGGCTGCAAGTGTCTCCCACACATGAAAGTTAAACTCTGGTTCCCAGTCTTTCCCTGCTGACCTGCCACAACTACCATGATCTTTCTTATTGCCAAGCAGCGTAGATCCCGTCTGAGCTCACATTCCTCTTACCTGTCTACCAGCTTCTTGGCAAATCCAAAGTCCGTGAGCTTGATGTGGCCATCCCTATCCAGCAGGATGTTCTCCGGCTTCAAGTCTCTGTAGACGATCTCCTTGAAGTGCAGGTACTCGATGGCACAGATGATCTCCGCAGAGTAGAAGAGCCCTGTGGTGCTGGAGAAGCGCCCCCGGTTGCGCAGGTAGCTGAAGAGCTCCCCGCCCGGCACATACTCCATGAGCATGTAGAGGAAGCGCTCGTCATGCCACGTCCAGAACCTGCGGGGACAGCACACGCTCAGGGCCCTGCCAGGGCAGGGCAGGGGTACATTGTCAGCTAGGTGTTGGGGTACAGATGCAGCTAGGTGTCAGCACACACTCAGGGCCCTGCCACAGGAAGGGAGGGGATATACCGTCAGCTAGGTGTCAGTACACGCTCAGGGCCCTACCACGGCAGGGCGGGGGTTCGCCATGAGCTAGGCATCAGCACACACTCAGGGCCCTGCCTCAAGAGGGGACGGGATATGCCGTACGCTAGGTGTTGGGGTACAGATGCAGTTAGATGCCAAAATGTTGTGTGCAGACAGGCAATAATAGCTGGGGACAGATGCTGGGACATGGAGCACACAGGTATGAGCATATGGGTAAAGACATCTGTCCTTACATATGGGTACAGATAGGTGTTAGAATGCATCTACACACAGATATTACTATGTGCTCAGAGACAGACATTAGTATATGGGTGCAGATGGGTGCTAATATATGGGTGTAAACAGTGTTACAATATGGTATAGAATACGGATATAGATATATGTTAGCATACAGATATATAAAGATGTTAATATGTAGTTACAGATAGGTGTTAGGATACAGGTGTAGATGGATATTAATTATACGGGTGTAGATAAGATATTACAATACGGATATAGATAAATGTTGAATACAGGTGTAGACAGATGTTAATATGTAGGCATAGAGAGATTTTAGGATATGGGTGTAGATGCATATAACCAGGTGTTACCATATAGGTGTAGATGGATGTTAGGATATAGGTGTAGATAAATGTTAACATATGGCTACAGATGTTAGGACATGGCTGTAGACATATGTTAATATATGGGTGTAGACAAATATTAGAATATGGATATAGATAATGTTAGAATATAGGTGCAGACAGACGTTAATATGTAGGTAGAGATAGATGTTAGGATATAGATGTAGATAGGTGTTACAATATAGATAGATACAAATGTTAGAATATGGGTGTAGAGAGATGTTAACATATAGGAGGAAACAGATTTATAATATGGGTGTAGACAGATGCTAGGATATGCGTGTAGACAGATGTTAATATACATGTAAAGACCAATGTTAGACTGCAAACATAGATATTAACAGAGGTATAGAGAGACATTAGGATATGGGTGGAGGCGGAAGTAGACTGGTGTTGCTCTGTGGGTGTAGACACATACTAGGATATGGTTATAGACAGACGTTAATATACACATAAAGACAGATGTTAGACTATGAACATAGATAGATATTAACAGAGGTATAGAGAAACGTTAGGATATGGGTGTAGATGGATGTATACTGGTGTCACTCTGTGTGTGTAGACACATATTAGGATATGGGTATAGACAGATGCTAATATATGGATGTGAGGGCAATCTGGCTGCGACGTCTGCTCATCACTGATTGCCAAGGTTGATTCAGCTGATCTGACTGGCTAGGCGGTTGTCCTCTTCCTCCTTCATGGCTCTGTGTGCATCCCTCCCAAACATGCCTGTTCAGTCAAAGAGTATGACCATCCCCAATAGAGGAGGACTAGTCTTCGGTCAAGGGTATACGAGTAGCTGCGCTCCCCTGCTAGAAATGCCAAACAAGCTCTCAAGGTCCACAGATGCTAATATATGTGATAGATGCTAAGGTGCGTATACAGACAGATGTTAGGATCTGCATGTCTGTAGATGTGACTCTGGGTACAGACAGGTGCTAATGTATACAGATAGGTGTAATTCATCAGTATAGGTAGATGCTAAGATGTGTGTAGATGTTAAGACAGGTGTATAACCAGATACTGGGAGAAGCATACAGATGGATTTTAAAGCACAAGTTGCATAGATTTTACATACATGTTGTCTTAGTACATTCTGGCTGCTATCACAAAAATACCATATACTAGGAGGCCTTACAAACAAGAAACATGTATTATTCTCAGTTCTGGAGGCTGGAAGTCCAGGGCGCCCGCTGATGAACTGCGTGGTAAGGGCCCATTCCTGAGGGAAGAGTGCTTCTCGTGATGTCCTCCCATGGACCCAAGGGGAACGGGCTCCCTTGGGCCCCTTCACCAAGGACACTGGTCCTCTTCATTGGCTTCACCCTCACGATCTAATTGCTTCCCCCCAATGCTCCATCTTTTAATTCCATAGCTTTTGGGGTTACTGTCTCATTATATGAATTTGAGAGATGCTTTCAGACAACAGCAGATGTTAAGATATGTGTCTCCTGGGACATGGGTAAATGTCTCATTGTCTTGGCATGAATGAAGAGTAAATATCATGGTCTCACATGTTAATATTCTTTTCAAAATTCTAGCTTCAAGAATGGTAAAAAAATAAACCACTGTTGTTTAATCCACCCAATCTATGCTACTTTGTTATGGCAGCCCTAACCTACTAACCAACAACACACAGATCTTCAGAGATCACACCCGATTCAGTAACCTGGAACTATCACTAAGCTTGGGAATTAACAATAAACTAGCAGACTGCATCCCAAACCTGCTGGGAAAAGATAGCCCTTTTAAAAAGCCCCAAAGGAGGTATTCCTAAGCACTTGCTTGTGGGAGCTTGCCCGAGGTGCCTTCTTAAAAAGGTGTTGATCAGTGGAAGAAAATGCAGCAAAGAGAGATCAAGGAAGAGGAAGAGGTAGGGATGAAAGTAGGTACAGAAGATACTGAGGTGCATCTGTGCATTCAACATCTCAGCACAAATATAAGTACAATTTGCACAGATAATGAAAGAAGGTTTGTGCCTAAAGAAGAGGTGGGGGAAAATGAGGCAGATTTGGAACCAAGGGCTTTGGGATTTTGTTTGGGGTGTTGTTTGTTTTTGAAACAGGTTCTTATTCTGTCCACCAGGCTGAAGTGCAATGGTACAATCATGACTCATGCAGCTTCAACTTCCTGGGCTCAAGCAATCCTCCCACCTCAGCCTCATAACTGGCACTACAGGTGCATGCCACCACATCTGGCTCATTTTTTTATTATTATTTGTACAGACAGGATCTCACCGTGTTGCCCAGGCTGGTCTTGAACTCCAGGGCTGAAGTCATCCTCACAACTCGTTCTCCCAAATTGCTGGGATTACAGACGTGAGACACTGTGCCTAACCTGGGCTTTGTTTTTGGAGACCTAGAAGACACCAGCATGCCCGTGTTTCCATGAGCACATGAGAGGGCCACCAGGAGATGGCACCCAAAAGAATCAGAAGCATAAAGGACAACCTTAACCATGACCAGGAAACATACTGTTATGTTTCATCTGATCATGACACTATCATGGATGCTCCCTTGCAATGTCATTCCAATGAGTTGCAGCCAGTCAGTGTATGAAGAAAACAAAAACAATGCCCAGGAAACCTTTCCTGAGGATACGGAGCGATGCACAAGGTCGACCAGACAGTCTCATCTGCCAGCACAGGCCACGCCACCAAAACAATGTAGAATGAAAGCAAAGACATGGGAGACAGCTTACAACGACACAGAGATTAATGATAGGAAAATCATAGGCCAGGCACAGAGGCTCAATGCCTGTCATCCCAGCACTTTGGGAAGCCGAGGCAGGAGGATCACTTGAGGCCAGGTGTTCGACAGCAGCGTGAGCAACACAGCAAGATCCCATCTCTACAATAAAAGAATCAGCCAGGCATGGTGGCGTCCAGCAATTCAGGAGGCTAAGGTGGGAGGATCCCTTGAGCCCAGGAATTGGAGGCTGCAATGAGCTATGATCACAACATCACTGCACTTCAACCTGGGTAACACAGCAAGATCCTGTCTCTAAAAGAAAAAAATAAATAAATAAAACAACATGCTACTGTCAATTTTAAATAAACATTTATTTGACTAAACACAATACATATAAACAGAGTTTATATGTATTAGCAAAATATAGGCCTCTTACATAAAATTACCTAATGCACTTTAAAATTTGCAGATTCTGCAACAATGCTGGAGTTGGGGGACTAATGACCCACAAATTCAGGCTGTAGGAATGCCTTCCTCTGTCCTCCTTGCTGCTAGATTCCTGCCCCTCAGCAGCTGGGTGGCTGAAGGGAGCTCAGGGTTAGAAATTTCCTTTTTTTTTTTTTTTGGAGACGGAGTCTCACTCTGTCGCCCAGGCTGGAGTGCAGTGGCCGGATCTCAGCTCAATGCAAGCTCCGCCTCCCGGGTTCACGCCATTCCCCTGCCTCAGCCTCCCGAGCAGCTCGGACTACAGGCGCCCGCCACCGCGCTCGGCTAGTATTTTTTTTTTTTTTTTCAGTAGAGACGGGGTTTCACCATGTTAGCCAGGATGGTCTCGATCTCCTGACCTCGTGATCTGCCCGTCTCAGCCTCCCAAAGTGCTGGGATTACAGGCTTGAGCCACCGCACCCAGCCTAGAAATTTCTTTTGTTTTTTTCCCTTCAGTTACTGAAGGCTGTGCACCTGTGTCCTACCTCTCCACTGACTTCTTACAGCTCAGCAAGTTCAAAATTTAGGGTCTTGAGGCAAAAGGGATCCAGGAAGAGTATCTGGGGAGGGAGAGGTATTTGTTGGAGTGGTTTTTTGTTTTGTTTTGTTTGTTTGCTTGTTTGTTTTGAGACAGAGTCTCTCTCCGTCGCCCAGGCTTGGAGTGCAATGGCATGATCTTGGCTCACTGCAACTTCCGCCTCCTGGGTTCACGTGATTGTACTGCCTCAGCCTCCTGAGTAGCTGATTACAGGCACATGGCACTACGACTGGCTAAAATTTGGTATGTAGTGACTGTTTTCCAGAGCAATCTGTTGGAGTTATAAAGACCGACCACACACCCATGCTCCTTTCATCTTACAGTTGACGTCTCAAGTCATTTTCTCCTAGCTAAATGACCTAATGTTGTGCTCTGCACCATTACTGGTTGGGCAGGAGTGTTACTCTCAGTACTATTTCATGATTAAGCACACGGGATCTCAAATGCATGACAGTCAAACTGTACTTTTGTGGATGAGCTTAGAAGACAACCACAATTTCACTGTTCT